ACAGTGCAAGTGCCCTCACAGTGAGTAAAGGTATTGTATGGTTAGTTGTTTGGGGAACTTGGTCCAAAGCAGCCAACAGGAGCTTGTGACGTCAGCTTTGATCGTACAACGACGTCGGTGTTGGCAGGAGCTGGAGCTCAGTAAGCCTGTCTCGCCGACCTCAAAGGCTCTGGCACGGGCTCCTGGGTTGGGACGGCGACCGATCTTCGCCTGTGCAGACGTTGCGCATCCTGCCTCCAAATCAAGCCGATCAACTCGGCATGGAGACGGTAGTTTCGATCCAAGCCCCACAAAACAGAAAAGCTGTTCAATCTCCCCCCAAAATGGTATATATAGATTCAACAAGATGCCAATGCCCAACCAATTACAAGATATCACAAGATATTCAACCAGACGTCCATGTTTTACTGAACACATCACCAGTCGAGGCCTCCGAGGTGGATGCCGCCGTGGAGACAGCGGACACGCAGGCGCCCGCCGTTCCCGGGGAGACCTGCACGGTGCCCACGAAACTGCTGTTGAACCAGTGGAATTCTGATCCCCGTTTCGATTTTGAACCATATGAAATGGGGTGTCTCAATGCTCAAGTCCAGTTACTTCTGTTGTACTACATCATGGGGCCCCCGACCCCACCACCCTAATTGGCAAGGGGATGAAGTACTTCGTGTGCGTTCGATTTCAATCATGTCGTTGCCTTCAATATGCCGCTTTTTAGACGGAAAGGGAGAGTTTAGGATAACATTGACATATTATTCCCTCGATGTTCATTGACATATTAAACGTACATATACCTGGAGCCTGAGTGACCCCTGTTTTGGAGGATCAACCATCCAAAATATGGTCTGATCCTATCAAAACAGAGGTCAGTCAGGCTCTAGGTATATATATATATGTTATATCTTTCTATACAGCTCGATTCTAACATTGGGCGATGGATGGGCTTCTCAAGTCTTTTTCAAGTGCAAGAGCCAAGATGAGATCACCCGACGGCGCTTGGTGCTTTGAACGGAGGGCGAAGCGTACAGGCACCCACAAACTTGGGAGGGCGAAGCGGGAATCGGACGACAGTCACGGGAACCATATGGGACTCACAAAGTCAAACAAAAATCGATATAGAGCAATTGAGCTACGACCAAACAAAAAAAGAACATGGATGGTGACCAGTGCGGTGAGCCATCGTGAGCCACCGTGGCTCGTCAGGTTGTTCGATTGCACGAACAGCTCGCTGCGATTGATGCTGTGTGTTTGCGTGCCAAAGAGATGGAAAAGCAGCAACTCGTCGAAGCACCCTTTTGGGAGGTGCTGGGCTGCAGGTCGTGGTAGAACCAGGATGGTCTTAGGCAGGATGGAGTCTTTTGATTTTGTGTCTGGGATTGGAGACTGGCAATGTTCATTCCACTCGGAACTCTTTGCCCCGAATTCAATAGGATTCCTGGACGCATGTTGAATTTTCACAGACAAATCAGAAATTGGTTTTCTTTGCTGCTTACAATATTTGGACCTTTCATTCGGAAGTGTGAGTTGGTATATGAGTATGAGTTCGCGGCATCTACTGATTCTACTGTAACACCACACAAATTCAGTGAGAATGTCACACGGCGTTCAGCGTGAGAATGGCCGGTATGGGAGTTTCTTGCAAAACTCACTATGTTGCAAAAGTTGCCTGCGGGCGTAAAACAGTTCTCGAAGCCAACGTTGTTCCTGGATCAGTGTACATCAAATAGCTGCCCATCAACAACTTGCACCCTAGAAACCCTTGTAAACTGCAGTCCTGGCATCAAGCTTTTAAAAGATACAATTACAACAAATTACAACTGAATTCCCTGGCGCCAGAGGAATCACATGAATCACATGAATCCATCCTGGTACCCGACCACTCGAGACCGTTGTCACCGGCGTCCTCACGGCTATCCAAGGTTAAGCGCACAGGACACCTGGCGGCAATCCTTGGAACTCTTCGTGCAGGACCTGGCACTGGCCGAGGAGGGAATCCGACGCTTCACCTTCGAAGCTTGATTGACTTTATCAGGTGGAAGTGTGGAAACCTTGGATATTGGATTGAATCATATTGTTGGAATATATTGGATATATGGTTCTTTAACATGTGTTCATCAACTTTATCTCCATCACCATGAGGGAAAAAGGGACATATCAATCCTTCGTGCCTTCATGCTAATCATTTGTTTGGCCAAAAAAAGACGCCCAACCTCAACAAGATCTTCAACTTGCCAACCTACCAACCCCTCGAACCCCCTGCCCATTCCACCTCCACTTCCAACACCACCCCCTTGGCCCGTTCCCCCCGTTCACCACCGGTCCACAGAGGCGCGGAGCTCCAAAGCATGCGAGTTGCTGAAGCTCACCGCCGAGGCGAGACGCGACCACCGGACCAAAATGCTTCAGAGATGGCTCGATGAGTTCGGTCGTTTGGTGGAAAGCGATGTGGTTTGCTTTGAGGCTCTGAGGCTCGGTTCTTTTTTTGTGTTTTTTTTTTAAACGTTCGTGGTTGCTTGCTACCTAGTAGCGATGGCCTCCAACCTACTTGCGATGGCCTCCACCTGATACCGTCCTTGCTACTAGTGGCTGCAAGACTTATGATGTGTTTGTTTGCTGTAAGACTTACGATGTGTTTTTTGCTGCACATGTTTCACCTCTTGCAAGTTGTTTCTTGGTCATCACATATTATGTGTTGATGTGCGAGTACGTGTGGCAGTAGATCTTGGCACAATTCTTTCGCTAATTCAGAAGGATCTGTCTCACAGAGATCATTAAATGCGCTTAGGCTGCAGGTCTTTGCTAACATCGACCCGCAAAAGGAAGTATCAACCACAACATTGGTACCCACATGGAATATATACAGGTCCATAGTTTGTTGAAGATGTTTTTGGGGCACACCGAATGTGGTATTGTCGAATGAGACCGTGCCAAAGCCAGGCAGCTTCCTCCATGAAAGAATCCTCCCAGGCGCCCTTGGTCCGGATCGTCGGATCCACGGGTCAACCGGCCCGCCCAATCGGTGGCAGTGGTCAAAAAGGCGCTGAGGTGGGGGAAAAGTGTCATGCTTGTTCTTCAGGAGTCCTCAATTTTTGGCCGGTTTTTGCGATAAATTGATGTGATGGCCATGGGTCAGTGAGTCCTTCTTTCATTTGTGAAGAGGTTCTGCGTTCGGCAGATCGGCTGCTACAAATCCGATATTGAACTGTGTTTGGGCAACCCGAGCTTGGAACTCCCATTGCACAAAAAGGGCTCGTACTTGTACAAGAAGCTGGAGCTGACAAAACAGCTGCAATGGCAATGGGCCAAGCTGGTACTGTTCCAGCTTTGATTGTTGCAGCGTGGTTTGGCCACTTGGAAGTGGTGCAGTTGTTGCTCGAAGCTGGAGCGGACAGAAGAGCAGTAACGAGCCCAAGATTGTACTGAGGCTTTGCATGCTGCAGCTCAGAATGGTCGTCAGTGGTGTGTTTGCTGCTCGAAGCTGGAGCAGAATGGAATGTGGCCGTGGCAGATTGAGCCACAGATTTGTTTCTGGCATGCTAATGAAGGTTGCTAAGAAGCTGCTGCTTTGCCAACATTTGGACAGTGGTCTGGTTTTTGGCTATACCGCCAAGTATGACCAGATGGAGGAATAAAGCAGCCGCTTTCGCCAGATTCGTTTCGTAGACCCTGCTACCCTCCGATCCCGCGCCTCATCAAGTCATGTGCCAGGCTTGCACTCAGCGGCTCCAAGAGAACCTGGATAAGCTCCAAGTGACTTGATTCAGCGGATTTGGCAAGGGGATGGACTTCTTCGTAAGAAAGAGTGAAATGATGCACTTCTGCAGCACACACTATCGCAGAGGCATAGGTATCATAGGAACGTTTGGGAACCGAGACAGAGGATGCTAAAGATCCAATGTGGAAAGAGAGGAAAGACACTCATGATTCTGTAAAAGAAGGCACCACAACCCCTTCCCCTCCAGACTCTTTTCATATCTTTTCCATTTGTTCCTGTGGACACGCCCCGCGAACCGACAGGATCGGGGTGGCCGACCCTCCAAGACTCCGAAACAGACCGACGGGACCGACGGGACCGCATGCAGGCCATCATGACAGTCATGAGCAGCAAATAGACAAGCAACATCCTTCTATTTGTGTTCGTGCAAGTAAGACTTTAAGTATGGAGTATGCTTGGTGATTCACAGATTTTCACAGGGACTCTAAGTGAACTGGATGCCAAAGAAGATTTTTGATGGATGAATGAGAAACTGTGAGCAACACTGTTGGTATGAATCTAGCAATCGTGGTTGTAGAGGCATTCCGTCGTTTGAGGAGATGGTTTGGATCACTGAATCAAACGATGGCTTAGTTGGTTGCCTTGCAAAAGAAGGCAAAGTGCCATTCTTTAAATTTGCATGCTCAATTGGAGGCAGAGGTAGAAGCAGTGTCATATATTTAGAGAAACACGAGTCACGAGTCTGAGTGTAGCCAACAGATATTGTTAGATTTTGTTGATGTTGATGTTGATGTGTTCCATTGCAGTATACAAAAAAACATTGAGTTTAAAACACTCAAACAGATTCTCGTTTGACCGATGCCACGAGTTCGGCCTTAGGCGAAGTTGCAAAAGGTCTCCGGTTGACCGGACAAAAAGGGGTCTCCGCGGCGGTGTCTCCGTTGACCGGTTGCCGGACAGCCCGTCGCCCGTTTCTTCCGGTTGTGACGTCGCTGAAGCTTGTTAGGTGAATCTTTTTTGGCGAAGCTCTCATGGGATGAGTGTGAACGAACCACAAGTGGCATTGATTGTGACATATTGCGACTTTTTCAGAACCCCGTCAGCAATCAGGGTCGACAGATCCTCATCCTCACAGATTCAGACCTGTTTGTTGCTTTGATGAAGGAATCTTTGGATAGGCAAGGATGTTTGGGATGCTCAAAAGGTGTCTATCTCAGACATACTCAAGGCAACACAAGAAACAAACAATGTGGCTGATATATAAATATATTATAAATAAGTTCTAGGATTCTAGGGTTCATAGGTGGCATAGGAGCCAAAGACACAACACAGTAATGACCAGCCGCAGTGGTCAAAGTGTGGAACGACCCAAAATGTCGTGAACATGGTGTTCACTTGGACCTCCCAAATCCGAACACCTGACGATTCACGAAAGGCCCTCGTGTTGAGACCAAATTCTGGAACCAGGTTGTCAAGAAGAATCCAATGCGCATCATATTGCACAAAGTTGTTTGTTTCTTCCACCACAACTTGGAAGTTCGAGGTGATGCGTGTGCTCACAACCGTGGCACATATCATACTAAATTCCCCAGTGCTGACCTGGAATCTGCCCAACACCGACAAAGCTGCTCACTGAAGAGCTCTGTCCCTTTGCCGCAGCGCTAGAGGCTCCAGCCGCCTTTTTTTAGCGCCGCCCCGTTTTTCATTTTTTTCTAATCCCATCTACAGGCCCAGGGGGTTCGATGTGTGTGCGTGTTGTGCAAAAGGACGGATGAATGCCAAGCTCGGGTGAATTCAGAGGTGTGCGGGAAGTGTATTTGTTTGGTTGCCCAAACTGAAGGACAGGTTTGGCAGAGCTCATGTGGAAGTTTTCTGGATGCAGGACTAGAAGTGGTGAGCATTAGGAAGACATTGGTCTTGTGTCATTTATACAATTTGTTCATTGTCAAGATGGTGCATTGCCTTACATGGTGCTGTGAGCCTCCATGTTATTGAGCAAGGTACTGGTAAGAGGATGTCGGATGAGCGATGCAAACTAGCATGGATCTGCAAAAACAACGCACCAAACCCTTCTTGCACCCAACAGGAATGGCATCCTCCAAGGCCGTTGGGATGCCTAGCACCGGATCTTTTTTTTCGCCGGGTTTGTTGCCAGATTCGAGTATCTTGATTGGGGCTGGGGACATACGAGGCTTTGAGTCTATACAGTGGATCCTTTTTAGATACATGCGTAGTTGATCAGCAAGTCAAACATAGGCGGAAGGGTTCGAACGCCTAATTTCAAGAGCGCCCCAAAAAAAGTTCCAATGGCATACCCCCTCCGACCCCCCGAAATCCTATGTGACACGCATTTTAACCGTTATTGGACACCACGTGATGGTGTCAATTGTCACTTGAGCAAGGCTAAAAACCTCCCAAGATGAACTAAGTGAAGGCCTTGTCATATGGAACTTGGGAAAAAAGCTCACTGGTTGGATGGCCCAGCCTCTCCTGTTGAATCCGCCATCCAACTGGTGATCCTGAAAAACCGACGACGAGACCGATGCCCTGAGACCGTTGCCCTGGCCACCGCCGCCGCCGTGGGCGGGGCATGCGCCTTTGTGGCGCCGAGCGCGAAGACGGTGAGCGCCACTCCTGCACTCCGGGGCCAAGTGCGAAGCACTCAGGCTGGCAGAATCTGTGGTAAACAGGGCCCGGGGATCTTGAAAGTTTTTCACTATGTGGTCTCCAGATGTCTCAAGCATTATCAAGTTCTGTGTTCTTGCGAAGCTACTTGCGTTGTTTTATCTAGCTTATAAGGTTGTTTTAACATTCTAGACTAGTAAGAAGTGCATTTCTACTAGTAACAAAAAGCTACCAGGGGCTCCTGGCATCGGTAGTAGGAGGAAGGACGCTCCTAGGGGCTCCTGGCCTTACTACTAGGAACAAGAAGCTACTAGTAACAAGTGCATCGCTACTAGTAACAAGTGCCTTACTAGTAGTAACAAGTGCCACGCTACTAGGAACAAGAAGCTACTACATTGGATTTGACCGGTCCAGGCCAGTGGACTGAGCCCCAACGCGGCGGCGGCCGTGGCGCTCAGCAGCGCTGCAGTGCTGGTGAGCCAGGCCCGTAAGGTCTGGGACCCTGGCAGTTCGGGTTGCCAGTTGGGGGTTGGGGGAGCGTGTTTGAGAGCTTAAGGTGGTTTCAAGGATGAGTGTTTGGGACATTGGTTTTCTATTCTATTGGTTTTCTAACTCTTCAGCTGTTGGATTTGAATGGTCTTTTGGGAGGGACTTTTAGTGTGATGCAGTCAAAGGAATTCGAAGCTGAAACTTTGTTCAAGTTGTAAAACTAGGTCCAGGTGCCTGAAGTAGGGCCCGGCAGAATGGGCTGGCGGATGGAATATCATGCGGAAACATATCATGCGGAAATCCAACCCACAACTTGGCATCATGGATGAATTGGAAAGAGTTGCAATTTGGTGATCGCTATAAAGGCAGGATCACCTGATCACCTGGCTGATCTACACCTTTTGCTTCGACCTGTGCGCGCTTTGCCCACCGGTGACCTCGTGACTTAGGCTGGATCCAAGACCAGTGCCCTGAAAGCCTTCGAGCAGGACACTGGTCTTCTCGAAGCAGAGGCTTCTCGAAGCGTGGAGAACACGGAACCTTGAGCGGTTGACGTGCCGAGATAGGGCTGTACGTGCCGACATGCTGGCTACAGAAGTGGGTATATGGTGCTTAGATATGCTTAGATAGGCTTAGATCCTGAACAGTGAGTCTAAAGAGATGAGATGTTTGTTCTTTTTCACCTGCTTATCAAGACTCTGTAGGTTGGGATAGTTACATTAAACAAATTCATCCAGTGCATACCTAAACCTATTTTTTCTCAGACTCCCCGTTGTTTATAGCAGATCGGTACCTGTTCTTGATTGATTATATGACATCCTGCCAAACTGTTGAAATCAGCTGTACTGAACACAGAGGAAAGAAATGTCACTCCTGGTTTAAGACCCAAACAGTGACGACGTCCTCCCCATTTTGGCAAGATGAGAGGAGTTGGGCGTGCAGCCTCCTGTGGGCTACTGGGACCCCGCCGGCTTGGCCCGAGATGGTGACGTCGAAGCGTTCCAGCGTAGGCGCGGACGGCGCAGCGACCAGACGGGAAGGCCCAGATGCTCAGACCTGTTGGGACAAATAAAGACTATTTAAGCGACTCAACAGCGGAAGCTGAATCTTGGGAATATTCCTGGGTGTTCAACCTCCTAGGCTAGTGCAATTACTGTAGTTGAGAAAGCGAGTGGGTGGGACTGACTCGCCTGATCAATTCCGAAGCATAGTGACCATCGGGCATTTGGGGGGATACAGTTGGGATTTGGAACTGCATCAGGGTGTGCAAGAATTTTCCTGTCCGATCAGGTCCCACTTTAGATTAAATTTAGTTTAGTAAGATCATCTGGAACATTCTGTCCCGCTCCGACTTCCAAAGTGAGACCTGAGCTATGGTCAGAGGATTTGCAAAAGCCAACCAGCAACTGCTCATGCTGCGCAGTCCCCATGTGCAGCAATGGTGGAGCCCATGGCATTGAAGCATCATGTCGCGACACATTGTGGTCAGTGGTCATCCCACAATTGATTCTATTGATTCTGGCAGCGCCTGAGATACTTCTTACAAGTGAAGGCATTTAGAAGCAATACTTACTTCACTTACCCACGCCACAGTAAAGTTCGGAAGTGAGTTGGACAAGCGATTCATGGCATTCTGAGACAAACAATGGATACCTCCTCCAACGAACATATCTCATGGAAGTAGAGGATGGCCCTGACAAAAGACATATGATTTGGCTCTAGAAGCGCGGGGGCGGTTCCCACTTCGATGTCTTAGTGACATGGAGGGCGAACCCGATATCGCCCGCGTTCAGCCAGGCGCTCCGTAGAGCTCAAGCACGGCCGCATTGCCATGCTCGCGACCATGGGCGGCTCCGTTCGCACCGGGATCGGCGACCCGCACGGATCGCGGGGCTTCGCAAGGGGCACTTTCCAGCCCTGTTTTCTCCGTCAGAATTGCAGGGGGATGAGGCTGTCAGGAACCTGAAAAAGTCCTTTGTGACAAAGTCTTCAACAGAGATCAAATAGCTAAGAACGATCTGCCCGAGATGGTGTGATTGACTATCCAAGCAGAGATCCTGCTGAAACAAATACAGTCTTTGAGATTGAACATGCCTCGGTGGAGGTGGATTCGTTCATCATAGTTTGCACTATATGTTTCAGGGATGATGAATCTGAATGTTCAAGGACCAAGGATGTTCAAGAGTTTTCTTTGTCGTGGTTTTGGACCCACCGGTTAGCTACGACGGCACCCTGAAAATTCCCACCAGCCGTCTCCGAACAGCCGCAACCCACACTTTTGACATTACCGATGTCGAGTATGCTGACGATTCTCTGCTCTATGAGTGTAACTGGGACCGCTTTGTCCTCAGTGCTAATCTCCTGAATGATTCGCTGATTTCCTTCGGTGCTTCGTTCAATGCCGCTAAATCCGAGTGGTTAGAACTTCCTGGTCATGCTGATCCTGCTGCACGGGATGCGGCGCCGCTCCCGGGAACTCGCATTTTGTATATTGATGGACCGAGTTGGTATTCCTAAGACTGCTGAGTTTCGCTATCTAGGCCACTATCTCTATCGATGCCAGTTTCGGTGTTGAAGCCGATATCTCCCGCCGCATTTCTCTTGCCAAGAGTGCTGTTAGCCAACTCAGACACATTTGGTATAGCCGTCGCTTATCACTCCGTCTGAAAGCCAGACTTCTCTTGAGCTGTGTAGCCAGTGTTCTCCTGTTCGGTTCGGAATCTTGGACTCTCAGTACCCCAGCCCTTCGTCGGCTGAACAGCACATGGCACTTATGTGTACGCACTGCTCTTCGATTAAGCCGTCAAGACATGCAAGATCAACATATCAGTGATGCCATGATGTTGCAGCGCCTCGGCGTGCCCAGTTTTCTTACCCTGTTGCAGCGTCGCCTCGCCGGATGGATTGGGCATCTCGCCCGCGCGGATTCGTTTCGTATTACCCGTAATGTTCTGTTTGGCACCCTCCGTCACCGACGTTCCCCGCCCTCATCCGTTTCCGCTAGACGCATCACCTATTATTCCCGCCTGAATGCCTTGATTCGGCAAATACCGGGCATTGACTAAGGGTATTTGGTCCCGTCAGGCTCTCGATTGTGCAGTTTGGTCTCAGGCTGTGTCCAATCTGTCAGTGCAACCTCAGAACAGATCCACTCCGGCACAAGACCGTTACTGCACACGCCCTGCACGCCGGGTCCCTGGTGGAGGAGCCCTGACGTGCCCTTTCGAAGGCTGCCCGTTCGTAAGCACTAACCAGCAAGGCTTACTGGCACATATTAATACCAGCAAGGGATTGGCCTGTTCTTTTGGTGTACACACATTGGTTTCTTCTGAACAGGTGCTTAAATCCTGGAAGGTCATGAAGCTACAGGCTTTATGGGCTTTATGACCCCCCCCGGGAGTTGGGCCATGTCGGTCCTTGCGATCGACCGCACTCCTTCTCGAATTTCCAGACCAGGCCATGTCTGCTCCTAGCATCCTCAGTGTTTTGGGACAGCTTACAAAAAGGCCAAAGCTCAGGCGACCGATGTCCCGGAGCGTTCTCAGAGCTCCGGTCCTTCGGCTTTATCTAATGCAGACCTCACTCGGCTCCTCCTACAGCATGATCGCGACTTGAGTCAGTTGTTGGCTGCTTCCTCCCTGGCTTACAAGTTTGAGTTGGACAACTCGTTTGCCGCAAAGATGTTGGAGGCAAAACATGCTTGGCAGGCTCATCATCAGCACGGCAAGCCTCACGCTATGGGTGCCATGCTCTACCGCGCTTGGCACGGTGATCCTCAAGGAGCTCTTCGACTATGGTATGCAGCATTACAAGGAACGGGATGTCATCTTTCTGAAGTCCTTGGACACTCTGATGGCCGACCCGTTGCCCACTGTAATTGCTCGAGAAGTTGCTTCACGCAGCGCTCGCTTGAATGCAAAGAAGAGCTTCATCATCATCCAGTTCCAGTTGCATGTGGCTTCGCCCCTTGTTCCTGCCTATCCCATCTTCAGGCAGTACTTGGATGAAATGAAAGGAGTCTCGCTGGGACCCAAACCAGCCGGACCACTGGTTCGGCGTGCACGTCAGCAGTGATGTGCCAGTGAGCAATGGCCGGGCCCTCTGTTAAACAGTGTGGCCTACACGAAGCTCTTGGACTCGTCAGCTAAGCTGTTTGTTCTCGAGATGCACTACGGTTCAGGCTTCATTGTGGACCTCCTTTTGCTACTTTTTCTTTTCTACCTGGCCAAGTTTTCTCTTTGCACTCTGCGGAAACATCCGAACTACTGCATCCGATTTTTGTACAGCATTGCGTGGAATTTACATCGCTGAGTTGGATTGGCACGGCATGCTCTGATTTTTTCATTCTTTCACTGAAAAGTTGAGTGCTTTGATGGTGGGAAGGTCATCGCCTTCTCTCTGAGGGAGGCACGACCCACCCCGTTACGAGCCAGTCATACCTTCAAGGCACGCAGGAGATCAAGTTCTATGTGCAGTTGTGATTCGGCTCAGAGGTTCCACGCCTGGCTTGTACCTTACTCGACCATGCCTCCTCCCGCAGTGCCTCGAAATTCCTTCTTGCAGCTTGAGCTGTCGAGTCCAGCTCACAAGCGCTCTTGCCAAGATGGTCTACCTGATGAACCTCCTACGGCCACAGCCAAGAGCAAGCCTTCGGTTCAGGCTCTTTGGAGCTTACTCAGGGCTTTTTGGCACACGAAGAGCAATTGGCACTCTTGCAGGCGCAATGTGCCGCCGTGTACAAGCTTCCAGCTGAGGGACACCTTGGTCAACAAGTGCTTCATGCCGTGGCTGCGTGGCAAAATATCACAAACCAGGAGTCGCTCACCCCATGGGTGCTTGCAGCACTGCTGTAGGCATGGTGCTGCTCAACGAGCTTGCTACTTCTTCCCCTCCCACTACTTGCTCTCCTGAGGCTTTCAAGAGCTTTCAAGACCTTGTGGATTGTTTGTTGCAAGCTGATGATCACGCCGTGGTCGCCAGGAGCAGGCCCCCATGCATGGCAAACGCTCTTCGGCACATTGTCCGCAACAGTCCACCCTCCTCGTCCACATCAGTTTGCCATACAATTTAATTTTGATCTCCTACAACAAATGCCCGACGAGAATATCAGCATTTGACCTTTGACCACCATCACCACCACATCATCGCCACCATCACCTCTCTCTGGCAATGGAGCCCGTCTAGATCTCTAGACCTTCTGCTTCTACACCTCTAGTCTACTCTAGACCTTAGGCTTTAGACACGCGGTTTTGGGGTCTCTTGCCGGCTACGACATTTGAGATTCTTGCGGGTGGTTGCCTGTGGAAAGATTGAAGACTCATGTGTGCAATCGCCAATCGCAAGCTCTATGCCTTAGCGCTGAGTGAAGTTGGTTGGCTGGAGCGTGATCGGTGAGTGTCAGGGGAGGCTGCGTGTTGATTCGGCAGGGTGGTGTTGCTGTTTCGCTTTCTCTTCGTGCGTGCATCCACAGCATAGGGAAAGCTGGGCTCCGAGCACGCAAACGGTCTCGTCCCATGTAGAGGTCCTAGCCCGGGGGGCGCCGCACTGTAGTCTTTTTAGTTGCCGGCCACCGCCTATTCGCGGCAATGCAAAGGAATCTGGTAAAGCTTTGAGGTGACAGGCACTTCCTGTTAGCCACAAACATGTCATCGTGTCCATGCTTCACCTTCGACATCATCTGCGCCTTCCAACAGGCAGCTTGTTGACCACACCATGAGGTCAACAAGCGATTGCCGCCCTGGAGCTTGCACACTTTGTATGGTGCTGACAGCCTGGCTCGCTGGTTTGCGCACATGCTTCCGTAAGCGTGGCCCGCGCAAGCGTGGTCTCTCGCACACACAAGTACCCTCCACATTCCCACCATGAACATGGTTTTGGTGTATTGCATCAACATGTGCAACATGCGTCGCCAGGCCCACAAAGCAAGCAAGTCCAGTCCAGTATAGGACACCTGCTTCCACCAACTTGCACTTATATAATTGATTTGTCATACTTCAACCTCGCTTTGCACACTTGGTTGCATGCCGCCCTTCACTTGGGGGAGAGCAGTGTCCGCACTGGCTCGCCTCTACTTCAAGTGGAAACTAGCAGGTGAGGATCTGTTCAAGCCCATGGTGGGATTTGTTACGCTCTTCCAGCCGCAGATTGGCAAACGGTCTGAGACAGGCAGGTTGATTGCTCCAATCCTACAAAGTGACCCCCTTCAAAGTCTGAGTGTCTCTCCGGATGAAACATGACCGCTCCAAACATGCACGCGCGCGCGAAACCTCCCGACGTCGCAACAAGCTTTCTACCACACCAAGCGGCCACCCACTTTATAGCCACCGGCCGACCACGCCGGCCACCATCATGCATTGACAGATGCCGCTTCAATGATTGTGATTTTCACGGTTGCGTTCCCCTTCCACAAAATCATGTAATCACACGCGAAAGTGAAATTTTAGAGAGGCTGCGTTGCAAGTGTTACAGTGTTACAAAGACCTGAACAACCTCTGGACATCTGGAAAATATAGTGTATACGCGTCAGGGAATTCAAACACACCGACGGAATGTCATGCACCTTGGAACCGGTTTCCTTTGCACGCGGGGATAGGCACAGGGCTTGAGATGTTGCTGCCAAACATGTCGAGTTGACCCCTGCAAAACAAAGTTAATTCATGACAACTGCCCCTTGCAATTCCAGTCCCACACCTGCATCCTTGGGAGGGAAGAATTTGAAAACATTCGAAACCTTGTTGATTTTGTCGTGGCGGACAAAACATAGAATATGAGAGAAACAACATGAAGATAGGATGTTCTGCATCATGGAGTTAGTTCTTATGAGTTTGTCCACATCATTGCATAGTATGTATTTATATATATGCTAACCCCCCGTTGTACCTAGTTTTAGCCCTTGTTGGCAATGTGGATTCCAGAAGATGGGTGCATTGCTTTGGTCTGGTGATGTGCAGGTTAACAGATACTGGAAGCCTATTTATCCATATACGCATGTCTATCCATACCCATCCATATCTATCCATCTATCTATCCATCCATCCAACTATCTATATACATGTAGGTATTTTTTAAACAGCTTTCTTCAATTAAAACCATTTTTTGATGAGAAACTTTGTCTTTATATATGGATATATCTGAAATGTTGAATGGATCATCTAATTATAATCTAATCATATATTTTGTTTGAACAATGTTTTGTTAAGACCAAATTTTTGAAATTTGACTTTGTTTGTTGCATATCAAAAGAGTGAGTTCAAACTTTTTTTCTATTGTTGAATATATATGTATAATATCTTTAAAGTTAACTATTTGGGAATGAAAACCAGTTTTTGCAGATTGAACCTATTTATACTTACGGATTTAAATGGAAAATTTTGTCTTAAATATATTTTTTAAAATTAGTTATGTTTAATTAAAAACCAGTTTGTGAAAATGCAATTGAATTATATGTATGTATATTTAAACCAATTAAACACAAAATGTTTAATTAAAAACCAGTTTGTGAAAATGCAATTGAATTATATTTATGTATATTTAAAACAATTAAACACAAAATTTTGTTTTTTTAATTTTAAACAATTCATTTAGTTAATAAAAACCAAATTTTGAAGATGCAATTTGTTGATGTACATGGATATATCAAAATTGAATGGGCAATTCTTTTTTAATCTGTTATTGAATATATATATATGGTTTTGTTCTAAATTGTATATATATAACTTTTTTTTGAATTGACATTTCTATTACTTTAAATTTGATATATTTGGACAAGTTCGATTTTAAAAAATGGGTTGCTTTGTTAATGAAAAATAGAGAGATCAATGGAACTATTTACATTTGCAACAAACATATTTATTGAAATCAAGTTGTTTAAAAGTTTTCCTATTGTATAAAAAACATTTTGTAGATATCATTGGGGAAAATAAAAAAGAGAAATCAACCTGATACTTTTAGATATTTTTAGTAAAACTAATTTGTTGAAGACGTAATATAGAAACTCAATTAAACATATTTTTAAGATTCTATATTTATAAACAACATTTTGTAAACACCATTGATAAATTGTATTGTTTGAAAAAAGAATCTATATGTTAAAAACAATATTTATATTGAAGAGTTCATTTATAGATATATATTGAACTATTTTTAGGATTGACAAATTACTATTTCTTATATCTTTTTTAGTTTTGTACATATCATTGGGCAAACTTTGTTATTACAAACAAACATTTTTAAAACCACTATTTTATTGAAACGCAAATTTTTAAATATCCACTGGTGTACACCCACCATTGCGCACACCCACTACTGGTGCACACCAGCACTGGTGTACACACCGCTGTTCTACAAACACCACTGGTGCACACTTGTGCTCACCACCAATGGTGCACAACCACCAGTGGTGGTGAGCACCAGTGGTGGGTGTGCAGTTGTGGAACAGTGGTGTCTTCTGGTTGTGGTTGTGGAACAGTGGTGGTTGCGCAGAAGTGGAGTCCAAGAACCAAGAGCCAAGATTGCTGCAATCTTGGTTCTTGGTTCTTGGTTCTGGGCAGGTCCTAGGACCTCCTAGGACCTCCCCAGACGTAGTGGTAGCATATCCTTATCTTATTGTAGTGCTGTAGAACTATATATATGCCAACCTAAAGGATGCGGGTCATTTTGTTTCCTAGGGTCCTAGAAGATGTGAACATGTCGAGATGATTTGTGCAAAAAATATATATATATATATTATATATACCATGTATGTAATATGTCTCTAAATTAGTGATAAAAAAGCATGCAAATACCAGTAAAAGTACAAAAAGGGTAGGTACAGGAGGGGGGGCCCACCATATATATATATATATATGTATCCCATGCAAATTAATATGTTTGTTTGCAATTCGGTTTGATTTTCTTCCACAAAGCCGAGGCTACATCACCCCTGAGATCGCCGGCAAGTTCCCAGGCACGGCGACGGGAGGGTTTCGCCGATATGGAAACCAAGGATGGAAACCGATGCGATTCGCGTTTGGGGTATTACAGGTCCACTTCACTTGAAGGTTTCACTTCAATTCGAAGTTCTTGACTCTTTTTGATTCTTCTCCCATGAATTGAGCTGGCAGCTGGTGTCGTTTTCCAGGCTACCTCTCGCCCAGCGCGGGCCTGAAGTTCGCCGACGTGCCCAACGGTTTGGCAGCCATCTCCAAGGTGAGATCGTCGGTCGGTGGTGTCGTTTAGGTTGGCAAGATTTGTTGGAAAAAACTTGACAGACAGGGCACCACAGGGCGCCACAGCACCAGGTAGGGGATGTCATGTAAGGTTTGTTTGCTGAATGACTCAACTGTTGGATTTGTTCAAGCAATTGTACCCAGACTCTACCCTACCCATCCACTTGTCTCTCCTACACGATCTACACGTCACCAGTGACCAGGCGCTCTCCCTATTAGAGCATTTTTCATGTGGTGCAATGCAAATACAGGCAGAACAATCAGAAGATGTTCCCACTATACCCGTGTTTCATCACGTTTAATGGTATTTCTGCGCAGAGAGATTCAATATATATATATATATGATTCAATGAACTTCCACTGGATGGATGCTTTCAGCCAAACCCACCCACTCGGCCAGCTCTGAATGGAGGTGCCAGCAGGTGGTTGGACTCAGATCCTGCTCTACATGGGCTGGTGCGAGGTCTCCCGTGGCCCAGGCCGGTGCTGGGGTGGGGCGAGTGGGTCCGAACAGGTGTGGCGGCCGTAGAGGGTGTTGATGAGGTCTTTTGATCAATCCTGGTGGACTATTAAGCCCACACATGCTCCCCTGCGTCCGCTTTGTTTATCATCTGTTCGGCGAGAATCTTGGCAAATATTATGTTTGTCACAGTCAGTCGACGCTGGATAGTCGGATGCTACCAACTGATGCAACTATATGTGGGGTGGACCACGTGGCAGGGGGGCTGTTTTTTGAAGGGGGGTTTGGAGCAGGTTTCCCATTTGCATCCATTTGCCATTTGGGTTTTGTCAGCAAGTCCGGCAATGCATAAAGATTAATACCTGGCCATACCTGGACCATGCAGAATGAATCAGGTTGTTTGGTGGAGTGCTTGCTCAGAACTCGGGTTAGCAATGAGATGCATCGTGCATGGGTTGGCACCAAAGAAAAGGAGACAGGCCATTGACAACCCCGACATACCCAACAATCAATGTGGATCGCCCAGATGAAGGTTTTTTACAAGAAAGGAATTGGATTAGCATGTGCTGTTTCTTTTTTTTTGTGTTGCTATGTTGCTTGATGAGAGGTCATTCCGTTTCCGACACAAACTGCCAGGCTCCGACATTGCTAGCGGCCGCCCCGGAGACTTTGGCTGGTATGTGCCATGTCGAAAAGCACCGCGGTGGTTTTGCAAAGTCCTGGTTCCACCGACGTTCGCAGAAGTTCTGGATTTGGCCAAAGTATGTGTTTTTTTTCTCGGGAGAGGATGAAGTATGTGTTTTTTTCTCGGGAGAGGATGAATTGGGGGCGCTGTGAGCGCTTGTGAGCCCAAGATGGACATGTACAATGACTGACAATGCCTCTCAGTTTTTTTGTGTTTGTTTATGTCAATGTTTCATGATGACCCTCAAGTTCAAACACATGATGATCCACCCCAAAGCAGGTCAATCTCTGGTCAACCTTTGGTCTCCATGTTGACTTTCTTCACTCACCACCAAAGAAAAATACATGCCTTGTATTGAAAAAACCTCAGCCACTGAATAGCATCACCAGGGCTTCGGGTTTCTATTGCTGAGAATCCCTACGTCCCTACGTACTCGTTTCTGATTGCTTCAGGTGCTGAGCTCAGCGGACCCGGAGCAGAAGAAGAAGAAGCTCAGCGCCGAGCTGGCGCGGAGACCCACCGACAGCTCGGGCGGCTTGGGGCGTTCTCAGCGGTGGCAGGGTGGCAGAGTGACAGAGCTTGCAACACCTCCTCTCTTGTATAAAGGAGCACGAATCAGTGAAGGGGTCCTCTCCCAAACTAGTGATCACCACTGGTACCGCTGATTTTGCCCACAGGGATTACTTTTTGCAAGTACTTTTTGGCACTCGGTGCAATGGGCCTTTCCGGACGGGCATGAGCTTCCCATGTTGAACTCCGTTCATACAGAGGGTACCTTCCGTGAAGAGGGTTTTGCTCGTCCATGTTGCCCCCCGGGTTTTGGCCCGCCAGAGTGCCCACACCCGGCATCTTCAAAAATACCATGCAGTTGGACCTTCCGCCCCATTCTCCCCTTGCATCTTGCCCAGAATCATCCCCTCACTCAGGTCCATTGCCCAGCTCCGTGTCCTTTATGTACTCAACTCCATGTAAATCCGCTTCCCCACATGAGCACGGAACTGACCTTCACGCGTCGGTCTTCCACCCACTTCGACCGTCCTATCACCGATCAGGGCTAAGCCTTTCGCAGCACAGCTCAAGTTGAAAGCAAACAGGGCTCAGGGTGATGACCGAGATAGGCGACGTAAGAGCTCGCCGAATTCTTACGAACCTTGACCACCCAAAAAACACCGAGCAAGGATCGGCTCGACCAGGTAGCAGCATTGTCCGTTCAGACACCTAACGAAGCTGCCGCTCACCGTGCGGGACAACAAGTTGTACTGTTTCTGTCAGGAACAGCAAAGGAAGCATGCCTGGACATGGTCACAATGCAGACACGTGCGGGCCGGCCAACAGGAAAAGGGCCCCCGCCTTAAGGTCCAATTATACACAAAAAGACAAAAAGTGGTACAAATGGTGCGTGACCAGGCTTCCCCATTCGCCAGCAGACCCTGGCCACCAGTTGGAGCAAAACTGGGTCAACCCAGGGCAAGTCGCGAACATCAGGCCGTCTGTAACAGAGTTGGCACGGGCAAACCAACAAACATGAGAACCGTCTGAGCCGTGTACTACCGTCTGAAGGGATGTGTTGGCCGTGACCGTGACCCTGAGTTCATGGATGATGTATCATGCTTTGTTGTTCTGCTGTTTAGAGTCTTAAATGTATGTTTCTTTCCGCAACTGTCCATGCAGTTCGGGCGCAGCAGTCAGCACTGTCCGAGGCAAACGGAAGACTCGCAATGATGGCCATCATCGGCATGTCGCCAAGCTGCACTGGAAGGTGTTCATGTCTCCATGCGTGCTTGTCTTAAGGCGAAAGTGGCAATGGCTCGGATGGTGCCAAGGTTGTTCACATAATTACTGTATATGACTTCGGAGTTCTGGGTCTATCTATATAACACTGATTTAGTAAAGTCCCTATGAACTATGCTTCTCCTACCAAATCTGCAAATACCCACTCTTTTGGAGGTGGGCTTGAACAGAACTCTGAAGACAGCTTTAGGCACCACAACACTCTGAAAGAGACTGCGACGACAACAAGTGCATGCTTCACTTGCCCGCGTGGTCTTTCAAGTGGCCAGTCCAGACTTTGAGTTCTTGCCAGTCCAGTTCCAGCACCACAGAAACAGACAGATTGTAGACAACATCGACAGAGGCGCGCCCCGAATCGAACCGAACCCGCGAAGTAACGATCGGAGGTTCTACCAGGACGGCTTGACCGGCTCCGCTTGGGGCGACTGGTCCAACTTCACCGACTCCCCGCTGCGAGCGACTGGTCCAACGTTCAACGTCGTGGGAAGGAGGAAGTGGCAAGTGATATGGGTTAAAGCCACATGAGTTAGAGCCTTGGAAATAGGCAGTTGAAGTGAGAATGAATGAGGTGAGTAGACAATAATTTTGATATGTTTTGTTTGAGTGATGAGTCTTTGGAATGCTGGAGGTTTACTGGGATATCAGGGTGAACTGACACATATAACATATAACCACATAATATAACAGTAACAAAAATTGGCATATCATCTGAGCTATTTAGATTCATTTTGGAGGTGCATTGATTGAAGAATACCCCTATTGAAGAAGGTCCAAGGTGGATTCATGATATCAGAGCATGAGGCTGCGGGGGCCACATGGTTCTCATTGTTTCTCCATTCCAGTCATGTTTGGCAGAAAAGCCTTTTTTTTTGACGATGTTGAGTTTGGATTTATCTATATTTATACATATTATACAAAGTTATTGTTTGTGGCTATGTCTCAGCACTGCTAATGTCTAACCTTTTCTTGGAAAAGCTGATGGCGCAAGGAAAATCCATCTATTTGTGCACAGAGGGGATGAACATCCACAGCGAGTTGGCTCATAATTTGCTGGTTTTGGGCCAGAATGCCTTGCCTCTTGAGGATCGGTTGTATCAAGCTTTGCACCCTCGATCGCCTTGGGAACTTGTGAATGACCTATCCCCCTTGCTCTCACTTGTTTCCGCACTTCACCAGAGTGTTGGCCACTTGTGGAGACTTTGGGCCTCCTAGAATCTAGATGTTGCTACGGTTTTTGTTTTGGAAAGAAAGGACCATCCATCATCTAATCATCCATATCATCCACTGGTAAGCAGGTATCCCATTGGTTGACGCACACAGACACAGAGAGAGCGTTGCAATTCTGCGGTTCCCAGGCCTTCGAGCAGGAGCGCACCTTTCGCGCCCAGACCGCGGTCTGGCTCATGGGATGGTGCCGGCGAGACTCAGAGTACCCCAGCTCCAAAACTCAAAAACATCAGATTACAAACCAGAAAGCCTCAATCTATGTTGATGTTCTACATTACCATATGTTAACCTCATCAGATTACAACAGCCTCAATCTATTGCAGAACATTCTGAGACTCAGAGGAGACGACTCAGCTCGAAAGATCCAACTGAAGGTGCATGTTTTTTGTGATTTGAAGAAATGGATTGGACTACAACACGCGCTGTGTTGTGTGGTTTATCATGTCAGATAGATGTTTCAGGATGATTCGTCCACTGGCGCGCCACACAACTATCCAACCATCAGTGATAGAGAACCCTAGCTGAATCGAAGCTCAAACAAGAACACAGCAATGCTTCATCGGTTGTGGAATGCTTCCAAAGTTGAGTCTGGCGAACCTGCCCTCTCTCAGGCGTGGGGCCGAGGATGACATGTGAGAGCGGATGAGACTTTTTGCTTCTTCCAAAGTCCAACAGTGAAGTAACGAATTGAGCCAGTACTCAGAATACCAGTCTCCTGTCACCGATAGTACTCTGAAATATCTTGAGCTGTCACCAGTCACCCCGTCCAATAAACCCTTGTCACCAATATCTGAAGTCTCGGAAACCAGAAGTTTTCTTCTCCAATACTAGTAACAAGAAGCTACTAGTGACAAGTGCATCGCTTGTAGTAACAAGTGCCTTACTAGTAGTAACAAGAAGTCTCCGCAAATTTTCAGGAGCTTGGCGTGCAGCCTCCCGTGGGCTACTGGGACCCTGCTGGCTTGGCTCGGGATGGGGACGTGGAGGCCTTCCAGCGCAGGCACGGCAAAGCTTTTCGCATCTCACAGACAATAGAATTCTTATGAATTCTTACATGCAAACATATGCAAACCCCAAAGTTAGCATGCTAACTTTGAGTTGGAGAAACCATTTCATGTTGTGAGCATGCTTTTTTGCCTCACCATTCTGACAACAATCGGAACCATTGATCCACTGATTCAGCATCACCGGACACCACCAGAAATGCCGAACAACTGCTGCAAAAGCAGCAAATCCTCGAAGAAAACGTGCATCCTTTGCTTTGAGCATCCTTTAGCCGGTACAATCTGTGTAGCGATGTCAGAAGTCCATCGCCCGCGTTCGGCCAGGCGCTCCGTAGAGCTCAAGCACGGCCGCATTGCCATGCTCGCGACCATGGGCGGCTCCGTTCGCACCGGGATCGGCGACCCGCACGGGTCGCGGGGCTTCGCAAGGGGCACTTTCCAGCCCTGTTTTCTCCGTCAGAATTGCAGGGGGATGAGGCTGTCAGGAACCTGAAAAAGTCCTTTAGTCTTCAACAGAGATCAAAAAGCTAAGAACGATCTGCCCGAGATGGTGTGATTGACTATCCAAGCAGAGATCCTGCTGAAACAAATACAGTCTTTGAGATTGAACATGCCTGGGTGGAGGTGGATTCGTTCGTCATAGTTTGCACTATATGTTTCAGGGATGATGAATCTGAATGTTCAAGGACCAAGGATGTTCAAGAGTTTTCTTTGTCGTGGTTTTGGACCCACCGGTTAGCTACATACCTAGGTTCGTGATACCTGGATTTAGTGGCAATGACTCTTTGTTTGTGATTTCTCACTTGGACTCTTCAAATGTTCATCCCAAGACAATCCTTTGATCCACCTCAGAGACTAATCATCATTTGGGTCACTATCGATACTGTCTAATTATGCTTTACCTACTGGGGTGACGTGGTGATCCTCCAAACTTTAAGATTTGACGATGGAATGTTTCCTCAGATGAACACCATGTAAGCAGTTTACCTCTAACAAGGCTCCTCTTGATTGTACAAATGCTGTTGTATGGGGTTTAGTGGATGAATCCAGTGCCGATGCCGAGGATATATCACCCCTGAGATTGCTGGCAAGTTTCCTGGACTGCTGGAACAAGGGTAAGGCTTCGGAGGTTGAAGAGTGGTAGTGAAAGCAGCGGCAAGATGGTTTGTTTGTTTTACTGGAAGTCAGTTCTAGAGAATTTTTTACATACTGTGCAGTATAATCAAATTATATATTGTGGATTATAGTTCTATAAACCTGCTGTGATAGGACAAGATCATATTTTTTGGGTGGTTGGTGGACCAAATTAGAAGTCACTCAGGTTCTAGGTGTATATATTGTGGAGGTCGAGGTTATTTGTTGCTATGTCCTTTTGCGAGGCGACTATTTTAGGAACCCAGGGAATCATTGTCGTAGACCTTCAAGGGGAAACAATGGTCAACGGCCTGGCTTACTCAACATAGGCTTTAGTTTATATACATTCTCTAATTCACTCCCCAACACTTCCAGGTCACAAGGAACCATGTAACATCTGCAAATTGTGGGATGTTCCCACATCTTTAGGGAATATCTTCTTCGGACATCTACAGATGGAACTGAGGAAGGATGTTTTTAGAGCAATCCAGCAAAACTACTTGTTCATTTTTTGAAGGGTCTAAGTGCACCGGGTGCCCCTTGCATTGCAGTGTTTCATCCAAATCCATTCGGGGATGCTGGTGATGATCAGAAGTTGTTGACGAGCTGGTTACATACCAAGTGAATCCATGCAGGTTAATGCCTGTTCATGCCTCGAATCGCAGGATATTTGTCCCCCAGCGCGGGGTTGAAGTTCGCTGATGTGCCCAACGGCTTGGCTGCCATCTCCAAGGTACGCAAAGCACGCACGCCGGTCACGTTGTTCGAGTGTACCCCACAAAACAGACTCGTGCGTAGTAGGGAATGAGGGAACGAACCGCCCCTGTAAATACCTCAGGATCCATTCCCTTATTCCTTACTAAGCACCAGTCAGAAAAAGAGGGTCACTGGAAGATTGGCATTGCCAGGTCTAGGCTAGGCCGTAAGTTAAGTGCCAACAAAAGGAGGTTAAGAGGCGTTGGTCCAATCATTGAGTGAATTCTCAGCAACATTGCATCTAATAAGGGGCTGGCCTAGATGCAGTGCGGTGGGCACTCTGTTTCAAGCAGATGAGCGAATCTTTAGCCATGCAAGGATGATGTGACTGGAGTCCAACAAATCAGAGAAATTGAAAGGACCCGTTTGCCTTTGTAATGGAACTACTGTAATAAGAGTCACCATGCGGTGTTCACCTGGGTGCCAAAGTAATTGATAATGCATGCTTGCAATCCTCAGACGGTTTGTTGGTGTTTTGGGGCTCCTAGGGTGTTTTGATCTGGCCACATTTTGGGCATGGTGATGTGGGTGTGTGTTTTCAAGAGGAAGCAGAACCGTGGAAATCAACATTCCCAATCATTCCCATTTAAGTTTCTCAAAAAGGGGGGCTTCTGAGCTACGCAGGAATTTCTGTGAGCCCCACAAGCTCCGCGGACCAGGTGCCTGCAGGTGGTTGGACTCAAATCTTGCTCTACATGGGCTGGTGCGAGGTCTCCCGTGGCCCAGGCCGGGGGAAACAGGCGGCTCACATGTGTAAGATCAAGTCAATCTTGCAGTGCATTCAACTAGGGAGGCCTTTAGATAGTTTCATTTCGTCTATTCTTCTTTTCCGAAACAGGTCCAACTGAAGGTCTCCCCTAAGTATTTACATCGCAATAGGCTATAGGACCATCCCATCCAGAGAAGACCTCGTTCCTGTCGCCGCCTGGTTCCATGGCTTTCGTCGCCAGGCTCCGACATTGCCAGCGGCCGTCCAGGAGACTTCGGATGGTATGTCACCTGACCGGAGACTTCGGGGTGGGGTGGGGAGGGATTGGGGGACACCCCACTCAGGATGAACAGGTGATAAGTTCAGCTAATCGGTTATTGCGTTTACTTTTCCAGGGAAACTGAGGGATTCGGTCGCAAACCTTTTGTTTGGGCAGAAGAGTTGGGTTTACCCATCGAAGTTGGCCCAGTCATTCCATGAATGATCCCAACTCAAAAACACTGCGCTGTACTGGCTGTACTTATATTATATATATATATTGCTGTATACTTTGGGAGAAAAAAACACAGAAAACACACATTTTTGTTCGCAGGATACGAACATATCGCCAAAGAGAGGATAAACGCTGAGTGAGGTGGCTTTGCAAGGTGGTCTCGCTGGTTGTCCAATTCATCCTGTCTTCCTTAACATGGAGCGGGAGGACTGCAAAGCATTGGAGTCAGGAGCATACTTATACGTGCCATAAACAAACAGCCAGGGACCCCCAATTACAAACCCATGCGGGTTTCCATAAGAATAGACACACACCTCGTAAGTGAAAATGGATTGGGTAAACTAAGTGACCAACCAAGTGACCACATCATTTGAGCCAAAGCTCTTCCATGCGAGCTTTGACAAGTTGAGGTCCTGAGCTCCGCAGACCCGGAGCAGAAGAAGAAGAAGCTCAGCGCCGAGTTGGCCACGGACTGAGCACTTAGTGCGTGGGAACGGAGAGCGTTGATCGTTGGTGACGTCGAGCAACTCCGGGACGCATCCCGTTGTGAGGCAAACGGACGTTTGGCCATGATGGCCATCATCGGCATGTGTGGGCACCCAGAATTGCTTCCAACAAGACGGCACTTTCATCGCTTGAGAAGCAAGGGAATGTTGATGGAACTGATTTGGGGAAGCTGTCTGACAAAGATGTGGAAACCAATGAGCCCAGCTTACAAAATATAGTATGTGATTAATCCAAGTCCAATGTTCTTCTCCCGACCAAGTCTCGGGTTGCCAGGCTTACCAGGGCCGTCAAATCTAAATCCAACAACATACCACAATGATCCAGGTTCCCAATGCATTTTTTCCACGGTGGAGGAGTATGGAGGCTTATTTTGGCGTTCGTTTCCCTGTGTTTTCACCAATGCAGACACAGGGATCTGGTGGGACTAAACTCATTGGGTTTGGATCGCACGGAGTTTGTCCCTCTGAATCTGAATGATGACACTGCGCCCTCCGTTGCTCCCCTGCTTCACAACATATGGACATAATTAGCATAGTATGTTTCTGTGCCATGTGAGTGCCCTGCTTGGACAGCTAAGCTGTGCTGAGTTTGATGTTTGAAAGCAAGAGTAGAACGATAACAATTATTTTGCCGATATACTGTCAATGGACTTGAGCTTTAAGCACCATTGTGGGTCACCCCTGCAAAGGCCTGTTAGTCTGTTAGTATTGATGGCTACTTGGTAGTGACGTGTTAGCGATGAACAAGAATTTGGCCCTCGGTCTGAAAGTTCATTGTTCCTCACAGGAGTAGTTCAGGTTGCTGAAGCCAGCTCAAAGATTGAAAGATATTGCAAGACACATGGCATTGTCACATCATTATACAATTTGATATCGTTTTGCTCCCAAAGACCCTGGAACATTTGATATATATATATATGCTTCTAAGCCAAGAACATCATACAAGGAAATCATTCCTATTACGCAAAACCCGCTTTGGTGGCTTAGTTTCGGATGTGAACTTTCGCCCAAACCAACATAGCCTCTCCTGGTGGTTGCTGCGTGTTCGGGGCAGCGTATATAAAGAACATTCAAGGACATCATAGAGCATCAATATGAATTCAGCACCCAATTAACGGACCACAACAGACCATTAAACCCAGCATTCGCTATGTATTGTTCCCATGTCACGGAGTATGAAACATCCCGTCGCGTCGTCATCGATTTTACCCTGTCGAGGTTCTACCAGGACGGCTTGACCGGCTCCGCTTGGGGCGACTGGTCCAACTTCACGGACTCTCCTTTGCGTGCGGAGGCGGACTTCTCCCAGGACTGCGGAGAAAGGGGAGGAGAGAAGGAACAATCAGGTTAATACATGACAATACAATACAATACCCATACTTTTCTGGATAGAAGCCTTTGTTTTGGAGAAAAAAGGTTCCTCTGCATGGATGCTACCTGTTTGGACCCACAAAAGTTGGACCTTTAGTGATTTGAGCAATTGAGATTCCAAAGGCTTCCGCACAAACCACTTTCCAATGATATGTAATTACACTTTTTCATTGTATCCACTTGCCGGATGATCAACTACACATCCTTAAAATGTTCATCACCCTCTGCAGGAGCTTGGTGTGACTCCTCCCTTGGGCTTCTGGGATCCCTTGGGCTTCTCCAAGTTTGAGAATCCCGAGGCTCGAACACCACGCCGAGCGTTTTTTTGCGCGCATTGGAACCTATCGCGTCTTTTGTGGTAAACTGGTTGTGAAGAATCCAAGGAGAAGACCACATCAAGTGAATATGTTTGACTTACTTAACACCTTTCCACAGTGTCCATTGCACATGGCCGATGTGTTTTTAGCGAAGAAGCAAAACATGGACACAAACTGATAACATACATTGCCGCTATATGGTACATTCCATGTTATCGATGTGTGTTGATTGTAATTCCCTCTGACCACCGACTGAAGAGGTTCCAACAAATGGGTTGAATGGTCAATGTGACCAATACTTCGACCATCCAAGGGAACAGAGAAGGGACCAGGTGGAGGTCCCAGCGTATCACATGGAACTGGGATTCTTTTCAAACAAAACAAACAAAGAGGGAATTATAGGCCTAGCAGAGAGAGTCTCCTGTAAGGATGTTCAAAGATTCTACTGGTGTCCTCGATAAACTTATTTCTGGAGAAACATAACTATCTTAGAAGTTTCTTGGGAACTTGTAAAGTGTAGATTGTTTTTTCTTGAAAGCTTGTTGATGGACTCGCAGCATCGCATCGTTTCGTTTGATCTCACTCCAGGTGGCCAAGCAGCAGTTCAAGCGCCGTCGCATTGTGGAGATTCAGCACGGCCGTGTGCCTGGCTCAGTCGCCCAGATTCACGCGGCTGGTCTCAGCCGACAAACTTCGTTTGGCGAGTTTCCATGTTGTTTGGATTCATGAAGTAGATCTGGTCAAATGCACTGATCAATGTGCAGATAGAAAAAATACATATTAACACCCAAACCCGTTTTCTAGGAAAGTACATGTGCCTGGTATAAGCACCAAAACAACGATGTCATTCTGGTAGGTGGCCATGTTGGCTTGCATTGGATACATCGTGCCGGAGTACTTCCGCTTCCCAGGCCCTGCGTTTTCGTGCCCTTTGGGCCCTTTGAGTCCCTGATAGGTGGTGGTCAGAGTCACGTATTTCATCCGAAGTCATTCGTTTGGGCCTTTCGTTTTGTGAGTTGTTTTTGTAAATGCAAATGGAGTGAGTGGTTCCCTGTGCCTTTGCTGTTTTTGTGACGGGTTCATAGTCTATCAGATTCTAGCCTGCTCAGTGCAGGAGCTGGGAGCATGCTGAGTTTTCGAGCTTGTCATCCCCTTGCTTCACGAGTGTAGGTGAGCGGCCTCTTTCGACATTGGTGTTTCTTTTGGACCATCCAGTGAGGGGATTTTCTGGTCACCCTGGTCACCCTCCCTATACAATGATCACCCAATAGGAATCCCTGGTTGTGAAGCTTATGCAACTTATGCAGTAAACATCAGATCCACCAGAGTCTGCTACAGATCCTCGCCAGCTCACCAGGCCTTTGCTCCCCTTCCCAAGGGGTGGCCTTTGCTGACATCCCCAACGGCCTCAAGGGCGCTGCTGCTGTGCCGCTGGCAGGTGCGGGTGGGCCACCGCGCGGTGGCCAGGGTTTAGTGAGCCTGAGTAAGAGATGCCCGATCCCAGTGATCCCCAATGATCCGGACCGGGGTACCTCCCCGGTGAGGCCAAGCGGCTCTTAGGGCCGGGGGTCTTCTGGAACCCATTGGTGGTGCACCAAGCCCACCCCTTTGGTGCACCAGAGTATTGTGTTGGTGGGGCCAGGAGTGGTGTTCAACCAAGTAGATGAGGACAATCTCTCACTATATATACGATTATAATATATATTATATTATATTATATTATATATAGTAATATATAAAACAAGTGTTTTCCGGTGAGCTTCAAGTTCTGCTTGGATATTTTCCATCAACTGTAGCCAGCTGTACACAGCCTTCACTTGAAATCGATTAAAGTAGGAAAACAATCCTGGTGAAGCTTCACCATTGCTTCCTCGACGTCTCCGCTAGGCTGGTTGCAGATCATCACCTTCGTGACTTGGCACACAGATGTGCTAGACATGCTATTATCGTTTGAACAACTTGACTGGTGTGACCATGTGCGACCAGTAGGGAAGACTAAGGTTTCTGATGGTTTCTGAATGAATGAATCGCTTCAAGGCAATCCGCAGATGTCATCCTTCCCTGGTTTCTGAGATGTTTGTAGCTTATGACTGAATAGGTCACGACAGCGCAACCCCTAGCGGTTTGCTTTGCTTTTTTTGTTATTCCTAGTTGATCAAGCCTTGGGAATGATCCAAACAGGGACAAAGTTAATGTGATTTGAATGCTCAATTTCCTCGCCTGAAAGAGCCTTTGCATGGAATCTGCAAGGACATGTTCTGTTGGTTGATGTTTCCCTCCAGACTTTTGGTCCCTCAAGCGATTTACTGACTGTTTCTTGGTTCCTCAAGCAATTCCAGTGGAATCAACCAGTTCTTTTTGGGTTCGGGCACTTGGACGCTGCAGGTTGGCATCATCGAGCAACATGGCACAGAAGGGCGGATAGTGGTGGACTTAAACGGATTATTCAACGGTCCTACAGTAACCGCAGCTGTCTTGGCGCAGATGTCTTGCAAACCCAAGGACGCAGTCCGGGGGGTTGTACATTCATGTACCTTCTATGAGCCCCAAACAACAACCTGGTCTTTAGCGGACCATAAAGGTTGACAATCCATGCTATGGTTGAAACCATTGGGACTGGATGATCGGATCAATATGCGCTTGGTTGGCCGTGTGACGTGTGTGTGTGTGTGTGTGTGT